AATGTACTCCTCTCTTTCTTTACCTTCATGGTGGATTCAAATCCCATCTTGTGGTTAGACTGGTTACAGATCAATGAAAACAAAGCTGCATTTCCGTGGTTCTTTACAGCTTTTCACGCTGTTCTGGTACAGTTTGTACGGACCGCTACACGGACAACAGGGGGGGAGAAAAATTCCACGCACTCAACGGCTAAGTTATCCACGGAAACGAAATTCGGGATTGGACTGGCGCGGAATATCTTAAGTAATTACGAAACCTTTGCGAGTCCGCACCGCCCCACATGTCACACATCAAGTCCAACGGCTGATATAAAACATTCGTGGCGGAATATTCCAAATATTCGATCAACTCCAACTTCAAGTACCAACGCGGAGCAAACTAAGGAGTCACACACGACTCCAACAGCCGCTCTCACTCCACTACGATTTAGTCCTTCACAAACTGGAGGATATCTCTCCACTAGTAGAACTAGTACCACATCCTACGAAGAGCTCCATGATTTTGCAAGCAACTTAATCACTGGTTACGAAGCTTGTTTACAATACTGCAAATCAACGTGGTGGAAATGGGACAATGGTTCCTCTCTGCTGTTCTGGAGGTGGCCTACACCGGAGTCAGTAAAAGCAGCACGGGATGGGTTCCCGTTGTTTGTCAAGAGAAACAAACTCCCAAGTTACAGAGTACGACATCGAAAAGTAACCGATGAAATGGCGATGCAGACCGGAGGTAAGATAAGTGATGTTCTGAGAAAGACTTACATCTCCCCTATCCACGAGGCCAAGAGTTACATTGACTTCTTTGGAGTACCGAAGGGCATCGGACCCAACGGTGAAATACTCGATATTAGAATAGTCTATAATGGAACCAGCTGCGGTTTGAACGACGCAGTGTGGGCTCCGAATTTCTGGTTGCCCACACCCAATACTGCTATACGGCAGATGTCATACGGGTATTGGGTGATGGATCTAGACCTAGGAGAAATGTTTCTAAACTTCCCTGTGCCTAGAGATATTCGACCTTATTTGTGTGTTTCCCTAAAACAAATAAGCAGCAAGCTAAAAGGAATTGATCATCTAAACCTCCGAAACCAAGATGTTAGCTGGAATCGTCTCCTAATGGGATTTCGACCCAGTCCTTTCTTTTCGATAAAGTTTTACTATCACGCGGAGGAATTCATCTTAGGGGATCGCAAGGCGATAGATAACCCCTTTTGATATGATGAAATCGTCTTGAATCTACCGGGGATGGACAACTTTGACCCTCGTCTACCATGGGTCATGAAATGGGACAAGGAAAGAAATTGCATAGCTGCTGCGATCATCACCTTTGTAGATGATGTTAGAGCCTCCGAGGCCTCTTTAGAGATTGTTTGGCAAGCGGCACAAAAGCTGGCAAAGCTCTTACAATATCTGGGAATCCAACACGCGCCACGGAAGCTAAGACCCCCCTCTTGCAAACAGACTGGAGCTTGGGCAGGAGGGATCACTGAATCAAGCGACCGAATGATTTTCAAGTCCATTACACAGGCTAAGTGGGACAGGATAACTCCCATGCTTGATCGAATCAAAACGGAATTGGAAACCAGCAAGGACAGGTCGCTGGATTACAAACAATTGGAAAAGGATCGAGGCTTCCTAGTACATGTTGCTATGACCTATAAGGTAATGAATGCCCACCTGAAAGGACTTCACCAAACTATTGATTCATGGAGACCAAACCGTTATGCGGACGGCTGGAAGATGTCACCAAAGGATTGGACTGACAAGCTTGCAGCATTATCCAATGATGAACAAAGAAATGAGCTTATCGAGGCCCATATTAAGGGACATCCTCCTCGAGTTAAACCAGCTACAAGATTGCTCTCAGATCTAAAGGCCCTCCAGCTACTCTTCCAAAACAGCGAACCAACTAAAGTATCTATGAGAGCTCGACGAATATTTCAAGTAAATTACGGCTTTGGGGATGCATCAGGAGAGGGCTTCGGAGACAACTGGCTCACTGTAAAGGGGATATCATATCACCACGGAACCTGGTGCTCAGATGTATCAAATCAGTCTTCAAATTACAGGGAATTTCGAAATGTGATCGATGCTTTAAACAGAGAAGGCAAAGCTGGGAGACTGAGAGAAGCCTTTGTGTTATTCGCAACTGATAACTCAACAGTGGAGACGGCTCTTTTCAAAGGAACAAGCGATAGCCCGAAACTACTGGACATGGTTATTGAATTTCATGCTTTGCAAATGAAATACGGATTCGAAGCTATAGTAACTCACGTATCAGGATATAGAATGATCAAGCAAGGCGGAGATGGTTTATCTAGAGGAGCCCTAAATGAAGGAATCATGGGAGGGGCTAATTTCAGATCTTTCATCCCGTTTCACTTATCTGGAATCACACGTGAACCAAGGCTGAAGGAAATGATTCGCAATATATTGGGCACTGATAATCAACCTATCTATCTATCCCCCATCGATTGGTTCACCAGGGGCCATGACATAGCAGGCGGAAGAATATGCCCTGATAATATGTGGAGACCAATCATTAAACACGGGACTTATATCTGGGATCCTCCTCCAGCTGCTTGTGACGTGGCTCTGGAGGAACTAAGGAAAGCCCGGATCAAGAGGCAGGAATCCACGCATGTAATCCTATGCCCGCGACTGATGACTCCACTATGGATGAAACAGTTGTTTAAGTGTTGCGATCTCGTATTAGAAATCCCTCCAAACTGTTCGTACTGGAATACTAACATGTGCGAACCCTGTGTATTGGGCTTTTGTTTTCCGTATATTAATGTTGAACCTTGGGCTCTAAGGGGCTCGCCAAAGATGCGCGAACTACACAGGAAACTGTCAAAGCTGTGGAAAACAGACCAAGTGGGCCCAGTCACTGTTTTGCATGAATTTCTATTGGTCAGTAGGCGGCTTCCCAAAATGTCACGGCAGTTGGTGCGCAAAGTGCTATTCTTTGAATAGCAAGACTCCTTTCTTTAAACTAAAGCAACCGCAGTCGTTTCATCCTCAGGCCCAGACCAACAAGAAGTGGAGGCATAAACGGCAGGATGATCGAGCTTTTGACTATGCCAGGCCCGGAGACCACATCCTAACCCCCTTTCAATGTGACACGTGTGTCTTTAGAAGACTAAAACAGCGAGACACAAGGAAAGGATCCATGTCAGATGATTTGCTGCTTGAGTATATCAGACGTGCTAATTTGGATGCTTTCTGGAGCCGAGCTTCGAGCACAGTAAGTGCTACTCGCCTAACTGTAGAGCGGACCATAAGCTCGCTGTCTAAACTGGGACTGGAGGGCCCTTTCTATGATCCGGGCCCGTCTCCCCCACATGACAGTTTTGGTTATGAGACAGCAATTGCAGTATTGGTGGACTCCCTCAAAGAAGGGAAATATGCCAAGGACCACAAACAATGGGAATCCGTTAGACGAGTTAAGACCGCGGTAGGAAACTTTGAGCGTGTGGCTACAGACCCTATACTAAAAGGGGCTTGCTTTGTATCTGACGACAAAGGGCTCCCCAGTAGATTGCACACCGGTGGAGCTACATCATACTGGCAACATCGGTTCTTAACTGGTTGCAAGGCTAGAATGGGAGTAGACAAACGACCGAACATAGCAGTTAGTGTCGACCTTTGGAAGCTTATCTTGAATCGATGTGCTAGCAAAGCTGTACTCAATAGTAATACTTCACTGGGTGATACTTGGATAATGGCAGGAGCTTTTCTCGCTTTTGGTTATGTACTATCGCTACGCGGATCAGAGGGCTTCCTTATGGATATATTTCTAATTCGGAAGCACAAGGCAATCAAGCAAGGCTTTGTATGGCTCCCTTTGTATGGAAAACTGAAGGGAGGGACCTCTCCCAACACATACTTGATGAGAGCCATTGAAATCACTGGTTCAGGAATCAACATTCGAGCTTGGAGAGACAAGCTCCTCGCCATTCACGAAAGAGCTGGTAGACATGTCGGGCCCGCGTTCTGTGATAAGGATGGATTTTTGCTGCATACTCAACGAATGAATGAGTTGCTTTGGGAGGCAACAGAGGAAGTGTTCGTAGAACAACCGGATCTGTTCCCAAGTGCTGTATCCTCAACTGATGATATACGAGTCCACATCCAAATAGACAGGACCATGCGAAGAACCGCAACTTCACAAGCTACCAGAGCAAAGGTCAGCGGCAATGATATCGACATTGCAAATCGATGGTCTAGAAAGGAAAGAGCCAAAGGCCAGGATCCAAGTGAGTATTTAAGACACCATTATGCACAACAAGACCTCCTAAACGATTGTCTCAAACGCTTCCAGGGGAAGCTATAAGGACAATGATGAACAAGTATTCACTTAAGAGCGATTTAAGGAATACACAAACAGGGGGGAATTAACGCTGAGTCGGACGAGTCAAATCTAAGCAGATGACTCCGGCTCTGGCGATTATCAGATCAACTGGGCTTTTGAGCAACGCTGAGGGCTTTTGCTAAAGTAATGAGTGAGCTGGTCTCCTCATTGCCAAGCCCTCAGGGTTTGATAAGCCAACATGACCTGGATGAGGACTGACACGGATACAACACCTGTGCCAGCCTCATGAGCCCTATGGGAGGGTTATCACCCCCCCCGTAGCAGACCATGGGGAATTAGCTATCCTCCTGGCCTGATTTTTCTTATGAGCTGAAAATAGTAAGTATCAGCTCTAAAACTAACTATATAGCTGGAAACTAACTAGTTGACCATTTGAACTGAAAGAGTGAAATTACACGTGGCAAGACGACTGAATCACCATCCGAACCGTTTCTATTTTTTTCGCTCGCAGGCTGCTACGACTCTCACTCGTATCGTACGATATGCCGTATCGTACGTAGGTTGCAGATGGTACGAGGTACGTGCGGGTATTCCAAAATGATCGTACGTCGTACGTCTTACACCGTACGGCACTTCTTCTGACATCTTCGAAGAAATGCTCGAACAGCCAACACAACACCGCCGTCCTCTCCGCACATTGGAACACAACAACGCACGAGACGAAAGATCCTGCACAGAAACATGTCGTGAGCAGAGTGTGTGGGTSCGGGAACGCGAAGCAAGCCAACAAGTGCGGGTGCTTTGCGCATGCGGTCCAACCACCCATTCGCCGTGCGCCGAACCCCCGTATCCGGTGGGTTCCCGTCGTCGTTGCTGTCGCTGTCGCTGCCTCTGTCGCTGTCCTCTAGGGCCGGGCTCTTGTCGCTGGTGATGGTGCTACTGCTGGTGCTGCTGCTGATGACGATGACGATGCCGATGATGGTCCTGGCCCACCGACAGCGGACGACAAATGCTTCGTCGTTGGCGCAAGGACGAGGACCACGGAAACGACCCGCGGGACGATCGCCCGCAGCGCCCCTTGCGTCTGCGAATCCCAATTCGAATCCGAAGGCCACCGATCTCGCCGCATCCSTGGCCGAAGGAGGGACACSGCTCGCTGGCGAGAACCACGACGAGGACAGCGGCCACCGCGCAAACAACTACGACGTCTACATCGTTCTGACCCCGAGCGGGAACTCGATCGGTCGAGCAATTGTCGAAGAAGTGGCCGGGCGGCTGTCTTCGCCGCCGWTCTTTCAAAACCACAATGCCAATGCCAATGCCCGCGCAGCGGACAGCGGCGAAAACGAAAGCGATCAGGAAACCGAGGCATGTTTTTCCTTCGGCGAAACTTCGCCGCAGTCTCTGGCTCGGGGTGGTGATCGCCACAACGACAAGCACGACACCGAAAACAGCAAAAGCAAAATCAAAAGCAACAATACCAACAGAGCCGGTGCCCTGAAATCCCCTGCTGTTGCCACAACAACTACAACCATGAACTTTGTGTGTCTCGTTCGATGCCCACCGGCCGGAGACGGAAACCCGGGAGCGATAGGAAGGAAACMATCATTTTCATCATCGGCAAACACAAACACGCACGATCTCGGGGACCACGATTCGCCGTGTTGCACCGTCATCGACGACGACGACGGGATGTGCTTCGACCCCCTCGGCAGCGGGCCAGCGATCCGGACATCGGCCGAGGCCTGCCTGCGCAGGATCGTCCGGGCCGTCTCGTYGAGGGTCGGAGACAACCGCGGGGAAAGGAACGAATCCTCGGCGGTGGAACGCAGAAACCGGGGCCGGGCCGGCAGCGCCTCACCGACGAAACCAGAAACGAGCTCGCGGGTTCGCATCCGGGGAATCGTCTTCAATCCATACGGATGCTGCCCACAGGAACAGAAGCAAGCACATTCACAAGCACAAGATCACAACGACTCCCGGACTGGTGGTGGCACCGATCGGTATGGCTCGGAGCAGAGAGCAACTTCGTCACTGGCGGAGTACAAGCTGCTTTCGATTGCAATCTTTCTTGATGCCGCTCTGTCCATGAGKACCACGGCCATCCACTCGGTGGTTYCCGGKCGCCGAGACAAAAACCTCGAAGACGACGAAATCGACAAGCACCCCAAACACAAAGGCAAACAGARCCACGGCACTASTGGCGGAAGGGCTTCCCTGCGGGCCATCGTTGTGGGAACCGAAGCGGCTAGGGGACTGCCGCGGATGGGGATACCGGTTCCGGACCTCAACGACGACGTCGACGATTTTTCGATCCGAAACAGGATGCTGCGGAACCGGCAGCGGCACAACCACCGGTCTCATTCGACCGGTGGTGCTCCGTCGCCATGGGAACGCGACTACGCCGAGATGAACGCCATGGCGGTATTGTACGTCAAGGCCCTAGCGGCCCAATGGAATTCCTCCCGGTCCCACGAGACCGGTGGCCACGGCGCCGACCTCGGGGATTGCTATGTCGGGACGGTCTCGCCCGGCATGACGGAMGAGTCCCTCGACGCCGCCCACGTCCCGGCGTCCGGCCGCACGCTGGCGCTTCGGTGCAAGCTGTGGTGCTGCCGCATCCCCCTCGTCTTTCACTGGCTAAAGGCGATGGAAATCGCGAAGGACTCGGCAGAGGGGGCGGCCCTGCTGGTCGACGCCCTTCTGAACGGCCCGATCGAACGGGGAAATGGTGGCGGTGGTACTGCTGCTTCTGTTGCTGCTGCCACTGGTGGCAGYCGCGGKTGCCTGTCGTGGGACGATGCGTATCCCAGCGGATCGTTYGTGGGGGCCCGATCGGGAACGGGAGGYCCGCTGTGCGAGCAATCCCTGTTGGTCTACAACGCCACCAGTGGGCGCGTTGGGCTCTCTTGCGGCGGTGACGATGGGCGCGAAGAGCGCYGCCCCGCTGCCGAAAGCCCTATCGCGGGGCGGACAAACTTTCTCGGCAATCCACGGTTGCAGGAGTCGGTTTACCGTGTAGTGCGAGAGTTTGTGTCGCTCGCCAAAAACGAAACGACGAGCTGCTAGCACCGCAGAAATCGGGTACATGGATGGTAAAGGGCCACAGCCTTCTGGTCGAGCCCAAGAGATGTCTGGTTTGTGCAAAAGAGKTTTTTCCTGTCCCAAGCCACTATCGGTGGTACGTATCGTACGTATGGTACTGTTGAACAGGCTTCCCGGGAAAACCTGGCTACCGTACGGCAGGTGGCCGAGCGAGGAGGCGGGAAAAAACCGTCCGTCCGTCGCTCGTTCGTTTTCGTTTGGGAAACTTGCAGTCCTCCTTTTGTTCTGTCAGTCATCCGTTTTTGCAAATCGAAGGAACGGGTCCTCGCAAGATTGAAAAAATCAGTCATGCGGTAGAACGATCTTTTTCGCCTAATTCGGCCGCACACGAATGCCGTAAAATCCGAAATSCGACACATCGACGCAGTTTGCACGAGTAATGCGAGGAAGTAAACTCGGGGATTGCCAGCAAAACGATCTCCGATTTTCGAGCCTGCCAATCAATGTACGGAACACCGTCATACCTGCTACGGCATGGGATAAATCCAGGAACAAGAACAATACGCAGCGGGTACGATAGTGTTTCCCATTGATAAGCAGAATCAATCATCCGGCATGTGAGCCATCGCKTATCATCATCTCCTCTTCAGATCAAATWACGAACAACCAACCGCTTCAACAAGAAAGCGGAAAACCTGCGATAGACCACTGCGATAGAATAMATCATAGCCAAATTTAGGAAATCAAAACTGAGATAACAACCGAAGGCATTAAAACTTTCTCTACTTGCACACTTGCACTTTCGTAAGATGAACCATCCTATGCTTGTTACCGTGTTGCTTTTGACCGCAGCCAACTCTTTTGTGGTGGTTTCGTCGACGGCGGCGGCGACGCCCGGATCTCAGTTCGACGAYCTTTTCCACCGGCGGCGAATGGTTCGCGGAGCACCACACACGGCGGACGCCGCCGCTCCAGCCACMCGAGCGAGCAACGGGGCGCAGCCGCGACGAAAGCTTCCGTCGGGAAAGGACAGCAAGAACGGCGACAACATATTTGATCGCCACAAAAACGACTGTGGCTGCGTCGAAAACAAAAGRGAAAGGCAGCTGCAGAGGAAACTGGGTGTGGGACATAACTGTGACTGCAGCCGCAGCAAGAAGAAGACCAGCAAGAGTGCCCGGSGAAGCCCACCAAAATATTCCTCTCCGCAAGACGACCACGACGACGTCTACACCAAGGAGAGCGGCGGAAAGGTTCCGAAGAATGCTCCAAAACAWAAGGACGACGACGACGACGACGACTATTTCTTTCAGTCGGTAGCCAGTGGAAACGTTACGAATGGAAGCAGCTCTGGAAAGGGAGGCAGACCTGGCAAAGGCAGCAACGTGGCATCCGCGAAGAGTGCGAAGGSCGGGGGAGACAGCAAGGTGTCGAAGAGTTCGAAGGRAAGTAGAACAACTAGCTCTAAGGTTGGGAAGGGCAGCAAGGATGCAAAAGATCAGGGTCGAGGTCAAATCGTTTCTAATCACCTGAGTGCGGGAGGCAACATCATTGGGAAGAACGGCAACACCCCTTATAAGTCGTCTGGATTTGGGACAAACGCCGCGAGGAACTTCATCATATTTGTGAGCGTGTTGGTTTCCTTTTTGATCATTTGCAGTTGTTACCGGAGAGAAAGCGTATTGAAACAAAGAAGCGATGGCTATTGGGAAGAAGAGGAACACAACCAGCAACAGGAAAAGACAGAAGACCGGGAAGAGAATCTAGGCGAAACTGTTCACGAGGAAAGCTGTAGCGACGATTACGAAGAAGACGAAGAAGAAGACGATGAAAACAACTGCGAGGAGGACTATGATGTCGATGATGATGATKGTGGTGGTGAAAGATTCCAAAAGCCATACACGTTCTGAAAACAATTTTGAACATTTGGCTGGGTTCCACTGTATCTACTAGCTTTAGGAGGTCGAAATTTAGGGGGATCTTCGTCCTACCGTACACCGGGGGGTGGCGGCATTCAATAAATGCATAGAATAATATTGATCGGTATGTATAAAAAAWTGTAACAAACTCTAAATGCCAATGATTTAGTTGTCCTAATACTCGTCGTAACATAAATTATTGTCTCATAGCTACAATTTTCGTCATGTCCGAAAAGTCCTTAACGAACCAATCCGATTGATTCTTGACGGCTTCCCGTTCRACGACTCCCCCGAAACCAACAAATGCTTTAGCTGGTGGCTTTGCCTGGGCGTCTGTAGCGCCGTCACCGACCATAACCATTTTCTCGTAGGAATGCTTTTCTTTCAGTTGCTCAAGGGCTTTGGGTTTTCCCATATCCTGCGAGGTAGGTTCGTTGGAATCGAAACCCGCGTACTTCCCTTCTGTGCCATACTCAAAGTTAATAGTATTGGCGACGATGTTTTCGATCGGAATGCTAAGAATTTCTGCGAGCGGTTCGATCATGATGCGGAATCCCCCGCTGACCAAAAACACATCAACGTTCTTTGCGTGCAAGGTCTCCACCAAGGTTTGGATACCGGGAGTCAACTCCAGAGGATGAGCCTCCAAACAATCAAGGATTTCTTTTCTAGAAGGTTCCAGCAAATCCAATCGTGCCTTCAACGCATCCTCGAATTTCATGCCGCCCTCCATAGCGGCAGCCGTTAATTTGGCAACTTCGTCACCCTTGCCCAAAAAGTCRGCCAACACATCAATTCCCTCCTCRTTTATTACTGTGCTGTCCACATCAAAACAAACAGCGTCAGCTTCGTAGAGAGCGTGCATCGCCTCAGGAATGGAATTTCCTACCAAATCATCACTTCCTCCGAACGATTCCAGCAAATATTCTGGGGTGACGTCCTCCGGTGCTGGGRTGGAGTTTCCTGAAAACATTCCCATGATCTGGCTGAAGAAAGTCCGTCGTTGYGTGTGTTGCTGTTGTTGTAAATCATTCAACCAGATTGAATTTCCAGCGATATAYTGCGATGCCACGGTATGTCCAGCGGTTCGGGATACTGTGGGCGATGCTWTTCTCGTCGTGGTCGTGGCAACTCTTAAAAGTGACGAAGCTGTTCTTCTAGAGGCGATCATTGCTATGATAGTTGCGGTGGTTACTATGCTGAAGTATGAGCTTCGGTTTATAAACTTCATTCAACTGAGGATGATAATACGTTGTGCTCTGATCTATGGTGAGGGCATGTGTCCACDGGAAGCGACCGATGATGAACTGCAAGAAGAAAGACAAACAAGCGTTCGAAACTACGAGACCCGAGAAACGAAGTACACGTGTTCCCACTGTTTTCCTTGTATTCTTGATTACTGTATTTTGGAAATCTATCAAAATTATTTGTGTGGCGGAAACGCATCAACTTGTCAACGAAGACGTGAACTGCAACGACTCTTTCGACTAACACGTCTTCTTGAATCTTCTTGGATTTCTACTTTAGGTTGGGTAAATGGGTGATTCCCGTAAACATTGATTTTAAGAAAGTTGAATTAGATTCCAGTCGTGCAGACATAGAAGTATGTATTTAAGACAGAATTACATAGATTTTTGGTTGTCGGAGGGCCTCGGCTGCCAAAAGTATGTATGCAAACACATACTTTTTTGGAATCAAGGATTCAAAAAATCCTTAGTCACGAGCTTCTGACACGGCCAGTTCTCAAGTGTCACTGACGTGTCACCAAGCCGGGGGAGCCCGCCAAAACAAATCTAAAGTGTCAAGACACACGACACGAAACTGAAAAGAAAGATGAATTGCTGCATCAAATGGCCATCGATACTTGCTGGCAAATTTTGGATCATTAAAAAGGAACATCGTCGACTACCCCAACAACCCCGACAACGTGCTGCAACCCCGACTATGTCACTAGAATTCATTATCCTTTGTGTAGCTCTCCACAATGAGCTGGATAAAGAGCTGTCTCCAGAGGAGAGGCACAGAAGGGATAGGAGGACACCAAGGATTGCAATCAGGAGATGGAATCAGTCGCCGTTCCTCCACTTGTATAGTTCTGGCAACGAGCAGGCCCTACTGAACTGTTGTGGTGTAGACCACAGGATCTTCAGAGGACTGATGGCACTATATGCACCAGTATTCAACATGTACATGATTGATGAAGCAACAGGCCGCATAAGAAAGAGAAGCTTCCACAGGAATGGAATGCCAAAGGGACGCCACAGGGAAGCAAATGCAACATGCTGTCTTGGGTTAACACTGCACTGGTTCAGGACTCGTGGATCAGTGGCAAGAGGCCTCTCCATGGCCTTTGGTCTCACATCGACAGTGATGCACAAGTGGATCAAGTTCTCACGGTGTGTCCTCCTTTATGTCTTGCAAGACCATCCGGATGCACGGGTCAGGTCTCCTGCCAGAGAGGAGGTCGATGCTTATATTGAGGCTATTGGGGGAAAATACCCACTCCTTCAACAACAAAGAGTATGGGGCGCTGCAGATGGACTCAAGCTTGGACTGCAGAAATCTTCAAACTGGGCAGTACAGAACATGTTTTACAATGGATGGACATGTGATACGTATGTTGGTAGTGTCTTCATCTTTGCTCCAGATGGCAAAATTAGAGGAACCATCTTCAACTGTCCAGGATCTTGGCATGATAGCACCATAGCAGACTATGGAATTTAAAGGAAGATGGAGGAGATGTATGAGTTGTACGGAGCAAAGAAGGTTGTTGTCGACTCAGCCTTCAATTTGACTGACAAGCAATATCTTCTTAGAACTTACCAAAAGGATCCAGATCTCCTTGCCATCAACAACCCCAACATCAACAACAATGTAGGCAGCAGCGCCAGCAACAATGCTGCTGCCAAACATGCTCTAGCTGTAAACCGACAAGCCACATCACTCCGACAGCTGTCTGAGTGGGGAATGAGGATGATCCAAGGACAGTTTCCAAGGCTGAAGGACAGAATCAGGCTTGAGGAGCAAGGTGAAAGGAAGATTCTCCTGCACACAGCCATCTTGCTGTACAATTATCAAGCCAGCACTGTAGGCATCAATCAGATTCTTAACGTGTTCATGCCCAATGAAGAACAGAAGAAGGGGTTCTTCACGCATGATACGATTGATGCTGATGCAAACAACTTGTTTTGGTGAGACAAGCCGCAACAACGATACATCAATACATCCCAGCAAGAACCACCGATACGCAATAACGATACATCCCAGCAAGAACCACCGATATGCAACAACAATACATAACTAACAATACATACGAAACAACGATACGATACGCAACAAGAAGAACTACGCATACAAAACAACGATACAATTCCCATGGTCAACATACCATTTGATCAGAACCACTAATCGAGTTTAAACTACTGCAATTCATACTGGAGGCTTGAGCAACCAACAGTATCATGGAAGAAGTGAGCTGAGCTGCGAGCAGCAGCAGTCAATGAGTGAGCACAGCTACTACGCGTTACACTGTGTTAAGTTGGATTTTGTACACGATACTTCGTGTTATTTGAAATTTTCATGGTCCGTTGAACCGTTGAAGCGTTGAATCACAAAGATTCCCTTATAACAAGGCGGGAATAGAATCAATAAGAAATATACATTTTGAATATAATGAATACGCCTATAATAAATAAGAAATATTCATGATATAATATAATCGAAATATCGCAAGATTTGGTGGGACATAATAGCAATGCATGTTGGTCCTTAGGCGTCCGTTGAGTAAAATTTTCAAAATATACGAAAGACTGTGTAGAAACAGTACTGAACAAGACGAGCTAACGTATAGGAATTAAACTAAGCTGCTTGCTTTTCATCCACTCGCTTTTGCCATAACGAGCAGTCAGTATAAACCAGATGGAAGATGGGAATTAAAGTAGTGATTAATAAGATAAATTAAATGTAGTTAAATGTAAACGCGACAATGGAAATCGACAATGGGAATCGACAATGGGATTCATGCGCTGCTGGTGCTGTCCATCATTGTAAAATACCGTAACACTTACACTTGACTTGGCTATCTCTCTTAGGTTGATGGACAGACGCGATCATCATTGAAATCAATCCAAGAAGTTTTTTCAGTATATTTCTAATGATATTTTCTATTCGATTTTTAGAGATGAATTGCAGATGCAAGTTGTGTGACAACACAAACGAATACAGTGGATGAGTTACAGGAATGAACGTTCCGTCTTCCATGCGAGTGATTAAAAAGTAGTTCTGTACCCCGGAAGGATAAGGGCAGTACATCGACGTGATGTTATTTGAGCACCGTACCTGACGAATGAGAAACAACAAGCCAAGGTACGACTCGTCACCTAGTTGCATTTTATCTATTTCGGTCTTCCGATGAACGCTCACACCTGCAGCTACAACAAAGATTAGTTTCATCTCGAAGCATATGTTGCTAGCAGTCGCGTGCATCGCAATTTGAAGTCACGACGCAAGACGAATCCGTCGATCAAGGGCATTTCTACGACACAAGAGTAGCAGCCGATGTCAATACAAGGATGWCGGATCACATCAATAACTCCGCTTTTGACGTGCTTTCGACAGTGTTGGTTTCTTCCCTGGATTATGTTGYGAAAGATTCACAGAAATTGGTCGATAATCATGTAAATATTCATACACAGAATTATCCTTATGAYAATMTACCATCCGATGATTTTTCGTCACCGTCCCTTTCATATTCTCGTTTTCTGAACAACGACACCAACCGAACCATTGCGTCTATTGAGAAAGTCAATGGAACTACAAGCACTCTTGGTGGTGGCGGCAAAAACAACGASAATCGCACCACAACCTTACGGGACATAGCAAGAGGAGCCGCAAAGAAYACCACCGGTGGAGGGGACGAAGACTGGAACCCCCAAGGCTTGACAGACGGAGAAATCCTGACCCAAACCCTAATGTTATATGGAAACTTCTTTTTGGTTTGCCTCTTCCTCTTTTGCCTCCTCCGCAAGGCATATCCCAAGGCTTATAACTTGCGGAGCGGTTGGATTTCTCAAGATGTGATCGAGCCCAATCCACGGGCCCAAAATCCCGATGCAATGGGACGTTTCTCGTGGTTGTGGAAGGTTTGGTTTGTGGCGGATACGGAGCTAAGCGACGATTGCGGAATGGATGCCCTCTGTCTGAGCCGCGTGCTGGAATGGGGAGCCCGTCTTACTTTGTTTGGGAGCCTTGTGGGTTGCATCCTATTGATGCCTGTATACGCCACTGCGGATGGAGATTATAGTATGAAAGGCGGCGTTGAGGAACTCAATACCTCAAACGTGCCGGACGGCGCTGAGGGACGCGGCCGGTTTCTGGCAACCGTCTTGGCCGCCTATTTGATTTTTGGGTACACAATGTATTCAATACTGCATGAATTTGAGTGGTTTTACACATTCCGCTATGAGTTCTTGAGCCGACCGATCCCTCGCAACTATACAGTTTACGTGCGGAATTTGTCGGAAGAGTATTGGACCTCTAAGGCTCTGGAGGAATACTTTTCGAATTTCGAAGTGATTCGTTCTGGTTATCACAGATATGATGATTTTAGCCTTGGTACCGAGGGTACTGCTTTGTATCCTGGCTATTCCAAGACAACACAGCAGTATCTTTCGAAGAATGCTATGAAGGCGCGGGTGGCATTGAAAATCCCTAAATTAAGTAAAATGGTTGCGAAGCGAGTGTGTGTTTTACAGAAACTCGAGCACGCCATCAATGTCGAAGATATTTTGAATAAAGTACCCAAAACCATCGACGMTGCGTCTGGGCTCGAGATCACCGTAGTAGATTATCTCTTTGGAGAGCTTAAAGAACTCAACAAAGAGATTACGACTATGATTGAAACCATCGACCGGCGTTCCAAGTTGGACAATCCATTGGACGATTACCATGCTGAGGACTACCAAAACCCAGTCTTGGTGGAGGGGAGCGACCATGGAGACTACGACTTCGAATATGGCAACAATACCTGTACATACCACAACGGCGTGATTGATATGAGAAGGAATGGTCCGAAACGGAGAAAGCCACCCGACGCGTTTTTTGATAGCAAGTCAGTGGAGCACTCGACATCGTTCCAAGGCAAGCCAGCAAGTGTGGYTGCCGCAGAATTTATGACGGTTCCACACACCATTGAAGACACAGACCATCTATTTCAAGAGGATATCACCGTTGCTGAGAATAACGCAGACCTGACCATGGACAGTTTGGAGGACTACAATTTGAATAGGAACATGAATGACAGTGAAAATGAGAGCAACAGGAATGGATACGCGACCAAGAGTCCTCTAATGATTATTGATCAGGTAGGAAAGGTTGCCAATGCTGGGATCTCACACGTTGGCAAAGCCGCGAATCTCGGAATACAGGTCATTGGTACGCAAATGGAACGAGCGGCCGCTTTGGTAAGCAACAGGAATGATGACGGGGCTCCGACGACGGCAGCATTTGTGACATTTTCGAGCCTCATGGCCTGTCAGGCAGCAAAACAGATGATGCATTCAAGAGACGTCTTTGGAATGGAAGTCATCGAAGCCCCCGGTTGCGACGATATCCTGTGGAAGAACGTGGGCAAGGAACACAAAGAATTGCAGATGGGATTGCTCCTGAGCATACTCCTCACGTCTACCCTCTGTCTCTTCTGGACCATTGTCATTACATTCATTTCCACTTTATCCTCGGTGGAAGGCTTGACGGGACTGATACCTGAGCTCGAAGAGTTACTGCAAACGCATGCATGGCTATACACGCTCTTGGCACAGATCTCGCCGCTCATGATCGTGTTGACGAACTCGTTGCTGAGAGTAATTCTGGAAGCTCTGTCTGGATTGGAAGGACACGTGTCAAACGCATTGATTCAGGCATCTCTCTTCAGCAAACTAAGTGCCTTTATGATCATACAAACGTTTTTCGTCAATGCGATTTCGGGGAGTTTGATCGCCGAGCTTTCGGCGATTGTCCAAAATCCCTCGGCTATCATAGAGTTGGTGAGTTGTTTGCCAATTGTATGATTGAGAGTAACTCAAATATGAATTCCTCTCTGCCATCACTTCATCTCTTCGTCTGACTTTGTTACTCTTATGTGTCTGACTTGCAACGCATGAATAAAGCTCGCAAACTCGCTCCCCAATCGATCTTCATTTTTCATCCAGATCATGCTGGTTCAAACTTCCGTTGATCTAAGCATGGAACTCTTGCGCATATCGCCGGTTGGTGTTGCATTTGTCCGATCCTTGGTGGGTCCAAAATTGACCGAGGACGAAAGACGAACTACATGGATGGGATTACGGCCCTTTGCTGATCCTATGGAATTTCAACACGCCTCTGTTTTATCAGGAATTGTCTTCTACTTCGTCGTTTTTTTTGTGTACGCGACACTGGCACCCATCACATCGATATTCACCTTTGTTTGTTTCGTGTTCATGGGTGCTAGTTATCGCCATCAGTTTATTTTCATCTACCCTACATTGCCGGACAGCGGTGGCAAGCTGTGGATCCAGTTTATGCAAATAGTTCCTACCTCGTTGATCATAGGAGAACTAACCATCGTGGGTTTTCTTGCGTTGAAAACCGCTCCCTTGGCGTCGTCCTTGATGATTCCACTCCTGCTCGTTACGATTCTTTTCAACATTTACATTCGTCAAATGCATTTTGCTGTGACCAATTTTTTGCCAGGATGTGTTTGTGCGGAAGTAGATCGCAAGAACAAGATGGATGGTCAAATGCATATGAAATTTCTTTCAATGAACCAATACAAACAGCCGGAATTGCGAGACAAGGAACTTTACCCTAAGAACGCATCATTTGAACGGCAACTTCAGCACGGTATACTATGTTATGAAGATCCAGAAACGGACGACAGGGAATTGGTGCCAAGGTAGCAACATTTCGTCATGATACATGAGAGGAACGCACACACTCTCCGCGGAAGGATCATTTGACCGCCTCATGCTCACAAATTGTAGTTGATTTTACCAAGCTAATGACCGGACGGTACGAATAGAGTTTGACTCGGCAGTTCCGGGTATTTTGCGCAGCTCTACTGCGTAGCTTATAACTTGATCGAATTATATAATTATTTTACATTCGATATTATGAGAAATTTAAACGGCTCCTCAATCATATTATAGTTCACGAGGAGACAAGAATCAACAGCAATTCGAGCTGCTTTCTTCGTACCAAACCAGTTCAACTTGAGATGTTGGTAATGACAAACTCAGGATTAGCATTTGAACGCATATTTCTATCGTCTGCTATCGCAACGAATCAAGAGCTTCGAAATAGTCGTTCAGGAATGTTTATGGTAATCATGAGCATAGGATTCACAGAATCCTGCGGTACCATCGTAAAAATATCACATTTTTGTACTGTTGTGAACAGTCTGGTTGCTACATTGCACGCAGAAAAAGTCAAACAGAGGCATGGATTTCGTTGTTCTGGCGTTTGGAAGCCTTGGTTCTTATTTATGCAACCCGTTCGATGAAGAGGAACAACTGTCTAGAACTGACGGATTTCGAACCGCCGAACGAATGTATTCCATCTTTGATAAACCTTCGGTGGAATACAATCGAAACAATTCAAAACCTGCGGTGTCCCAATGGTTTCAATTAATTAATGGTTCTCCGATATTGAATATTAGACCCACCAAGGAAAATCCCATCGATTTCATTCATGGAAAAAGTCATGACAAATCCATTAACCCACTCGAACATTGAAAATATCTATTCACGTCTGAATCGATGCGATCTTGGAATCAGACTCATTAAAAATGATATATATTCCATATTCCTGATAGAATTAGTCAAAAGTGGTCATCCGAATACTATTCAGATATTTAACGCAAGAAAAAGATAATGGCCACTCAAGGGCATCTTAAATCAACACAAGGTTCTCTTTGCATAAGCGGGATTATTCGCATTTCGAGAAGGAGCGATATATTTAAAGTTCTAATCAATGACCTCTACTATTCTTTCATTATCATTCTGACTTGTCATAAATGCCGAAAGAGAACCCTTGGGGCATGTCTATCATCCAACTGTATTATTGTCGGCTTTCAGTTCTTATCGGTTCGCAATATGGACTTGATTGATAATTGAAAATTAGTGTGCCTAGGTATCATAAATCGACATTTTGATAAAAAAACTTGCGTACTATCAGAATAATGTATGCAGAGTGAGAATAGGCCGATAATTACTGTATAAGAAGTTGTATATCGACATGTTTATTGTTTATCATCGCATTTAATTTTTAATGGCCTTGAAATTTCCAATGAAATTGACAAAGCAATATATATCATGATAACAATTAATCAAGGATCGATTATTGTGCTCGACGTGTTCCTGTTCGAACGCATTAAATATGTGCGGGTCACAATTTTGAGACAGACCCGGGAGAATCGGTTCCCATCAAACTTTTGGCAGCTTCACGTTGATAGTGTTGGTAATGTATTTTCGAAGACCCAACGATGTTTTTTTTTTTCTCTCTTTTTGACAAAAGAATGAATATGTGTCTCCTCATAAAATAAAATTCGACATTCTCAAAAAGCACAGAACAAACGCGAAAACAAGAATTGAAACAACGATGAACTCTAGAATCTTCCTCTCGACTTCCAAGGCTTCGTTCTTTTTGATAATTTTACTAATTACAAGTGCATACACGGCTCCTGTGGCATCATCATCAGTTTCAAAGCTTTCTTCCCTTCGTGGAAGTGCCAATTCCATCTCCATTTCGAGCGGCACTACCAACAGAGAGGGTGAGTTTATCAGCAGTCAGTTTGCACTCAATCTCTACTCGTCCGCAATGGAAACCGCTCGCAACCTTTTATCGGCCTGCGGTTCGGACAACAACGTTTTCGATAAGGAGGGCGAAAAGAAGGAGTTTCCATTTTCACCAAAATGCGAAGAGTACGCCCCAATGAAATGCAAGAGGCGGGAAAACGGCAAGGTTATAGAACAGAATGCCTTCACGAATTCGTGTTTAGCCAAGGCCGAAGGATGGGACGTGGCCAAAGAATGTAAAGTCCTCACCAAGTGTGCTTCGAAAAAAAAGAAAGAATTCTCGTGCAATGGCAAAACGTTTTACAACCGATGCATTGCCAAGAGATCCGGTCAGTGCGACATTGCTCTATGATGAATACATCAATCACATCACAACGTAGCATGATGCAATCAACGATCGCGTGGATTAGATCGCCAATTTGACGGGATGCAATTTCTCCACCGGGACGGAGAAGCAAATAAGCCGCTACGCATAGTTGTAGAAACAATTTGGAAATTGATTTTGACGATATGCTTTTGCTACCAGTTTTAAAAATAATAATAGATTCTTTACGTTACTCATT